ATAAATTTACATTGGCTATTTGACTTATGTCAATCCTTATATGGCAGTCATTATTCACGTAACACTTTGAAAAACCATAAAAACCATCTGTTTGGTCTGTGTAGATGCTTGTTGACAAATGACTTTTGACTTTTTATCGGGAAGTCTGATACCCATCGAGAAGCATTATTCAAAGATTAATAATAAAGCTGTAGAAAGCATTAATAACCTTGTATATTCTATTTTTGGTGTAGACGAACAAAAAATGACAAAGACAAAAGTTCCGAGAAAAAGTAACGTTGGTCATAAGCTTAAAGCGGAAACTGTTGTAAAATCAGAGGAAAAAGGTAAAACGCTCGTTGCTAAAGAGGAGGAGAAAGTTGTCGTTCCGAGTAAAGTTGGCGAGGTGGAAAATGAAACAAAGGCAGTGAGGAGAAGCCCTGGAAAAAGGCGTAAAGAGGTTATCGATAACGAAAAAGAGACTCAAGAAGTAGTGGCTTCCAGCTCAAGACAACAGTTCACTTCGGACTTGTTGGATACAGAAAACAATTCCTCTTCGGTGTTGTCGAGTTCTGGACACATAAATGAAGAAATTAGTGAGATGACTCCCAAAAGGAAGCGTAAACTATCTCTGGGACAGCATAATTTTGCCACATCTACTTCAAGCAATGAAACCTCACCTGTATCTCCGGGTGCGGATCTATCAGTATCTCCGCGACGCGGTCCAAAACGTATTCGTAGCCAGTCAACTTCAAGCATAGGGGAAACTCGACCGGAAGAATCCCCGGCCAACATATTACTCGAATTCCTCAACGCGTTAAATCCCAATCCACCAAAATTATCTCGCAAAGAGTTATTAAGGGCGGGCACCTGGTTGTTCGATGAATTATTAACAAGATCATTCTCGCGACCTTTTGTTAATCCCGTTCCCGAAGATGCGATAGTTTATCGGAGAGAGATCAAACGTTTGATGGATCTAACCACGGCCGAGAGGAAGCTATGGGCAGGAAAGTATAAGGATCTCAATGACCTGTACGCAGATGTGGTGCAAATTTTGTCGAATGCTATCACTTTTCATCAGGAGGGTCAAATATACGAGGAGGCCAAAGAGATGTGCGAGTACTTTACAAAAGTTCTATATCCTCACATATCGTAAGCAGAATTTACTTCCCCACTCAATTAATTTGACTTCGAAAGAAAAAAAGCCTGACCGGTGATTTGCTGAATCCTCTCTTTCCTTATTCAGTAGAGTCATGTTTGGCGGAGACTTAAGGAAATCAATTAACGAGATGATGCCATTGCTACACGAAGAATACTTTGGAATAAAGACGTTTTCACCGGAATTAATAAGGGAAAAAAGGTAAATTATAAGCATTGAATTATATATTGAATTCGGATAAATCATGAACGTTCATACAGAAATACATACGCACCCACGCGCATACATACATTTTAGCCCCATATATGTTGTCACCACCCTTAACCGTAAAAGGCAACAAACAATCGCAAATAAAAAATCCGTCCCGTCTACAGTGCTTGATCGACTCGATCATTTCAACCGAGGTTTGACAGATTACTTTACTGATGGCATACAACCAGCGAAAACCCCCAATCTCGAAGAATCGTCTTTGACCAGGGATTTCATCCGCGTTTATTTGACCAAAGGACTATCCACGTTAAATGAGTGCATCCAAAATCC